TCTCTCTCTCTCTCTCTCTCTCTCTCTCTCTCTCTCTCTCTCCACTTACTGTACGAGAGTCTGAACACGACTGGCTGGGTGTTAATGAGCTTGTAGAGAGTCAGGTGGCAGTTGTTCATATACGTGTGTGAGAGAGAGAGACAGCTATAGGTGCAGTATGGGCAGCAGGTACTGTATGTATGTGTGTGGCTTTGACTTAGCTGGTAAGTCTCTGTAGTTAACAGCTACCACAGCTTTGTCCTTTTAAAGAAACCACTGCATGTATGATTTTTCTTTCAAATTTGACCAGATTACTATAGACAGGACAGATGAAATATGCATGTGCTGTTGGTTTTCAGATTTAGCGAGCTCTCTCTGAGGATCAATACCATGCATTCGTTCTGAAAAGCATCAGGATGTTTTTGGTTCGTCAGCTCCACTCTGCCCTTTCTGTACACGAAGCTGTGATATCAGAGTTCAAAGCAGCAGCGGATCATTACCGCAGTCCAGTGTGTGATCGCAGGCCTGTCTGTTACTCCGCGGTTCATTATCAAAGACCAAGACACAAACACAGTCTGTTCTCTGCTTTAATCTCCTCACCAAGAACCACCGCCTGTCTCCTAGAAATCATGGCAGACATGCTGCAGTTAGCTCTGCTACCCAACTGTAATTGCCCATCACTCATTTGTTTTCATAAAACAACCAAAAAACCATGAAGCGCATCCCCTAGAAGCGTTTTATTTGACGCTGAAGCAACTAACTGTATCTACAGATGGTTGCAACCTGCCTGAACCGCCTGGCTTCACCTGAGGCCGGCGCGTTCTTGGCAGACACTGTCAAAGGTCTTTAGCCTCCTCTGCAGTGCCTCTCCAACAGCAGGAGGAGGAAGATGAGGGATGCATAAGAAAAAAAAGCATGGCTCAGTTAGACCATCTGCTCACACGGAACCACAGATTTACTGCGACTGGTTTACACTTGTGTGCTCACAACCAAGCCCAAAAAATAGCCGTAGTGAAGGTCTTGAGCTGCGTTAAAGATGCAATGTACAAGATTCAGAGCACTAATATAGCAGCAAATATCGATCCGCTTTGGAAAGACATGGTGAAGTAATGTCTACCTGAATAGGGAATTAAGTCGCTCTCCCCTTTTGCCGTAGTTTGATCTGTTAGCGCCGTTAGCTGCAAGACGCCGGCTCAGCCGTCGCCATGTTGAGAGGCAGCAGAAATGCTCACAGTCTTGTGTAAAGAACGTTTAACAAAGACATCATCTATACAATACAAACTATCAAGGAAGAATATGAAGCAAATAAATGAGGTATCATAAAAGATGATTTACCTTATTAAAATTACTATCAAGTGCAAGGCGGGAGATGTATATATAGAGACGCAGGTTGCAGCATTTTGTAAATATTATTGAAATCATCTTTCCCGTATGAGGCCTAAGTGCACGAGCCGACACACACTGTGTTTACACACAGCAGGTAACGGAATCTCGCTGCCATAGGCCTGTTGTGTTTTCACGCCATCTGTCCACTCGAGTGTCACACCCGAAGTCATTGTAGCGATGGGAGATCGCATCACTGACCCATCGTCGTGACACCGCGCTATAACTGTGAGAACCAGAGACATGCAGAGGAACGATGATTAATGAGGAAACAAAGAACAATAATAGTTTGGGCGAGAGTGTGCGCGGGTGGTGGTTGACAGCACGCGGCCAAGGAAGAAATGAAGAATAACACATTGCCAATAGTGATCAAATCTCAGTGCGTCAACAGCAAACAAACCCATGCACCAAGAGTCTCAACGCTTTACACCTCAGCTACACGCACAGATCTCACCACATAATTCAGAAGACTGATACGGTCCGCAAGCCTGCTGAAAATAGAAAATGAAACAAAAGAGCGTGCACTAGGATGTGTGTGTATCATGTAACCTACAAGACCCGTGTTCCACCGTGAGCCCAGATATATTTCTGTCAAGGACTGGATGGTAATAGTCATCGCGATCCCGCTTGTCGCTCTGAAACAGCCTCTCCAGCCACCACAAAGCTATTCAATAGCCCCATGCATCATTCCTCCGGGTCAAATTCCCCTGATATGTTCTGTATTGCGTTAGCTGGGAGGCTGAGTCATCTCTATAAAGCAATTTAATAAGAAGAAAGCACTTGCTGTCACTTATGTCTTATCCTACCCAAAACAAGAGGCAGAGCCTGGAAGCTACGCGCTTGTCAAGTCTAGGTTCAGAACGATTCCTCGGTTCAGAATCGATTCTCGATTGCTCTGAGTTAAGAAAAGGCGGCGTGGCACATTATGGCATTAAAGCAGAGAGTCCAATGTGTAAAGGATTATGTAGTAAACTACTTCAGAAGCTGAAAGAGGCGGCACCGCAAGTCAACACTGCCAGACAGAAAAAAAAATGAAACTATTCAAAAATACATTTTTGGAAGCTGTGAAACGAATCAGAATCATAAAGGATAAGAATCAAGATTCTGACATTAAGCAATATTTTTCCCCTCACACCTACCCCTGGCAAAGTGCCCTTGAGCAAGGTGCTGACCCACACTGACCCAGAACTGTGCTGTGGTCCCTTCTGGTGGTACAGCAGTAATTTGTCTCCACTAAATCCTAACAGAACGCTATTTCACAGCAAAGTGAAGAGCTCCACACTTCCTCTAAAATCCACTTGCTTGGAATATGTGGAATAGTGATTCTATACGAGGGTAATTATAGCGGAGTGGAAATGTAAGGCAGAGTATACGTACCCATTCATTATGGACACAAAGATGCTGACAATGTGCTACTTTGTTTCACACAGCCGAGATCGAACAAAGAGCTTTCTATTGAACACATAGAACTCCTGGGCCAGGAACCATCATCTCCAGCACCAAGTATACAACGAGCACACACTCTCCAGCAACCCACTGAGCAGCAGCGACAATTCCACATGGCGCACACACACGCGCACACACGCACACACGTACTTAAGAACCTTTCGTCTCCCTCTAATTCCAGTGAATGAACAACATCATGCCGCTTCCATAACTAATTAACTACAAATATATCAAGCTAAATTATTGACACTAATAATAACCACCACTCACAAATAGTCTTAATAAACTTTCTAAATATAGACTCTTAGAAAAACAGTATCTCATCAGTTTAAAAGAAAAATGCAAGTGCGTCGTTATTACAAAAGTGCTCATTGCCTTCAAGTGAAATTACACCTCAGATGCTGTTTGTCATGTTTTATCAGTTAATGAGATTACTGCAGCACTCGGAGAGGACCGAATGTTTTAACATGGTCTGAAAATGGACCTTCAATAAACAAACCCACACGAATAAATGAGAGCAATCAGAATAGACTGGTTCAGTGGCTGCTTGGTACGGTTTGTGTCTTAAAAAGAGGAAAAGCAGATCAGCACCATGTGTGCACGCTTGGGGTATTTTGGCAAGAGAGGTTTCACTTCCACTGTAAATGAAACCGTTAATTCCTGAAAACCTAATAATTAATAGCTTGACCTGATGAAAATCTATATGGTTGGGTATCAGGTACTTTCACTAAAGATTACCGTAATACATCATAACAAATTATGTATGATCCTCCCTGTTACATGAATTATACATTTACTTAGGTGTGCTTACAATAAGTACTATGACTTTGCTAAGATGAGATGAAATATCATTTTCTCTTCATCATTTACACATAACGGAGCCCCACGTTCTTCACCTGTAGACATGAACAAATTAATAAGCGGCTGATCCACAGGGAGACAGGACCTTGCTCATTGTTTGTCATTCTTCTTCTTCCTGTATTTAAAACAGAAAACCGATCATCGGGTCAAACCATTCCCCCCACAGGAATGTGCCTCCCTCTCTCCCTTCAAACCGTGCCTCTAATTCCTTTTCTGTCGCATCGCCAACCTCCTCTCAACTCCCCCCCCCTCCTTCTTCTCTTTCTTTACTGTCACAGACATCGACCGACCCCCGCCCCCCCCCCCCCCAATCCATCTCATCACATCGCCTCTGCTCTTCCACAGGAGCACCTTTCTCGCTCTCCCCATCCTCCTCCCCCATCGTCTCCCCGCCCATCCCCTAACGCGTCCGAGTCAGTGGCCACCCAGCAGGGGGATTCATCACAGCAACCTTGCAGCCACAGTAAACACTGCCAAGAGAGAGCACGCGCGCACACACAAAATCTCACACTCTCTCACACACACACACACACACACACACACACACACACACACACACACACA